GGCAACAGTGGCAAAGAAAAGCTCCTTAAGAGCAAGAAGAAAAAACTTTGAGAGGAACCAAAATTCAAAAGGGGAACACATTGTCCTCTGATCGACACCCGATGGCAAAACAATAACGCAAGAGCAATATAAATAAAGAATAAAGATATAAATAAAGAATAAAGATTTGACAATTAATATACAACAGTGAATGTATAACAACAGAAAAGAAATAAGCGTGTATATGGACAGAAGTATTTAGATTAATCAGTCATAACTACTGTTAGAGGCCTATCAGAGTAACAATGAGAAACACGTATATGACAACCAGTCACTGTTACTCAGTAGTAACAGTGTTACAGTATTACTGTTGCAGACAATGTTACTGTCATTAACCACTGCCCCATTTGGCACCCTTGCAGACCTCATTTGTGCACACTCATGAGACCTTAACTTGTAAATTTGGGGTTCAAATAGGTTCTTACAAGTGCCCTCCTTGCACCCCAACTACAATGTTTTGCAAGAACCTCATCAGTACAGACTCAGCAATGGTATCTTACCTAAAATTTCTTTGGTACAGGTGAAAACCAGGGTGGAGGGGATTGTTTTCAGCTATCTGACCAACATGGCAGAGAGGCCAGTAGCAGGACGCTACAGTACACTCAGAGTATTAAGAAATAACATATTAAAACGATGTTATACGTTTTTCCTTCATCCAATTAAGAGCAATGTGCCTTTAGGGGCAGCCCTGGTTTGGCACTAGGCAAAGGTTGGCAGGCGCCTAGGGCCCCCATGAGCCAAGGGCACCATGTAAATACAAATTACTGTATGTACTGATGTTAAATAACTTCAAATAACTCAGTATATTTACATCCTAAAAATATCTATATTGTGCGGTTGTAGCAATTATTTTCAGTAACTTCTATGCAGCCCCACCTTTCCATCATGGTTACAATGGACTGTTCCACATTGTTACGTGATGACATAACTTTGTAAAGACAGACTAGTATGAACAAGATAATCAAGCAATAATCTACATTACGGAGAGGAGATTCCTCAGTGTGATTACATTACACATTATCTCCTTCTCACTATTCATTCCTTTATTCTACCTTCCTCCTTATTACCTTACCATACTGTACCAAATTCTCTGTCAGAGACCTTTGCTTGTTTCAAGCATATTTTTTGATCAGCCAATTTAAAGTGATAAGTTGAATATAAATTTCATTCAAACACTACTTCAGTAAAAATATCTAAAAATGAGTAAATAATCTTATTCTATTCTTACAGAAAGCTCAAAATGAGAAATGTTAGATGTAACAACTAGATATAAGATGATTTCATTTGCTAAGATATAATATTTTGCAGTGTAGACATTTAAAAATATGCATCCAAGGAGCCCCATTCCTGTCTTTTGCCCCTGTGTGACATGTGGCATTTACAAACTTTTTTACATCATAAATAAATAAACGTGCTTAAAATATTCTCGTTTCTCTATCTCCAAGCAAAAAACCAGCAAAAGCGCAATGAGCAGTGATTACCCCTTTGACCTTATTGTCACTAAAGGGACAATTTTGTAATTCGCAACAGGTTTACTGAAAGTCAGGTGTGTGCCAGTCATAATTGTAATTTTTTCTAATTTTTTAAATGAGCTTTGGATCAGTTGTTTCAGAATATGGAAAGCAAACTTCGAAAAGCTATAGGCCATCTGTAGGAATCATGGAATCATGTGACTTACGTCTTAATACATCATTGTTTATGCTGAAAAACCCTTTTCCACCACTTTTTTCACATTTCAGCTTTAGCGATATTCAAACCTTTCCACTTCATTCTAACTTCTATTCAAACCTTTTTGCGATATTTTGGTGTTTCCCATTCAGATTTTTTCAAAATTCGCAAAAAAACTGGTGGATGGAAAGCCTGCTACTGTTCATCAGTAGGTTTATAGAGATGTGTTTTTAAATAGTTATTATAGCTGCAGTTTTTATTATTTTATTTATTTTTTTATGGAAACAATAACTTTTGCCCCACCACTTTTGGAGGTGTGGTACCACCCCCTTTTTCTATCTCTGTTCCTTGCTTTGGGCAAAATAATGCCACACTGCTTCCACTGTGCACTGCTCATATACTTTGGCTGCACTAGTTACATAAAAACTTGGTGCTATGGGAGACACAGCTGATGTCTCAATAGGCTATGATATGACCCAGTCGTCAGGGTGATGCCATGCATTCATATTAGTTGGGACTGGACAATAGAAATGTTGACCCAACGATCACAGTGAAAATTTTAGTCTGAGGTTGGTTACATTAGCCACTTGTTTGTAGCTGATTCACATCACTCTCCAATTTATTGTTCCATATCTTTTCTATGTGGACATGAGACTTTTCGGTAAAGAGGGATGGCAAGGCACCTTTTTGTGACTCTGTTATTATATTTATCATCAGATCAAATCTGTAGAGTTGTTGAATTTGTTCAGTTTGAATTGTTTTGGAAAGGGTTAATAAGAACAAAAATCTTCTTGATAGTATCACTGCCTCTTTTCAATGACTCATCAGATGGAATGCTGCAAGAGGAATGCTCATCTAATTAAATTTCCTCATAAGTTCCTGTCTCTCTGGTCCTTCTGTTTTTTTTACACTGGGTAGGGGAAAACCAGCATGTTATCATGAAAGTTCCTTTTCTACAGGGGTGTGTCTCCATGTTGTCATGCAAGCTGAAGAAGCCCACATATTGTATGAGGTACAGCAGGTTTTCCATTACGTGGGGAAAGAACCATTTATTGCTAAGAGTGTAGCTGCCTCTGCTTGGGTACTGCACAGCTGTATTGCTGGGTGCTCCAGCAGCCCTCTTTGCTCCTTCAAGACATCCTTAATGTCAGTACTCACATAGACAAACACAGTGTTAACTGATGCCTTTTTATTAGTATGGCAGTCAGAGTAGCAGTGCCAGTGCCAAATAAAGCACATACAGAACTGTCAAGCTAGAGAAGTGAAAACATAGCCACTCGATTAGGGGCTGTTCTGGCCCATCAGGGGTGCAGGTGATAGCTGCAATATAAGTTACCTGTGGTTGCAGATTCTGCTGGGGCTGTAACTGAAGCCTCACATAACCCCCCTGGACTAGCATTCAAAAACCAGCTGTACATAAGCAGCATGAGGAGCAGAGACTTCCAGTGAGACTCCTGAAAAAAAGAACTCGCCAATGACTGCCTTACTGAACACAGAACAGAGATGCATGGAGAGAAGAAAAGAAAAAAGAAAAGAAGATTGAAGGAATTTTACATTGTGATACTGCTGAGGAAGCCAGATGATTCAGTAACAGTCCTTCCCAACTTAACCGTTTTTTAGTAGATGTTTTAGAGCAAGAAAATAATCAAACTCTGGACTCCAGCCCACCAGAACCATAACTGATGTCTGATGCTCACAGGTGGCTCACCAAGATAGCTGAATGTGCAAACTTAATTCTTTTATTTGTTTTTTTTTTTTGTTTGTTTGTTTGATTGTTTGATTTGTTTAAAATGTTGTGGCAATCATGAGACCATGTGATTTCTGCCTGTGTGGAAAGACTACATAAAGTATGCAAAGTAGTCATGTGAAGCCAGTTATCATTTCAATCTTGACTCATTCCATTTGTGTTATGATTAAGAAACATGAGGAAGAACAGCCCATCAACTCTTACACTTAGTAATGATTTCAATACACAACTACACAAATGTCACAAAAACGTTACTGTACATTTTTCATTCTTCAAGGTACAAACAATGTAAATGCATCCTTCAAAGGTGCAACGTTGGTTTTAAGGTCCAACTGTATACCTTAAATACGTTTTTCCCAAAAGGAGCATATTTGTACATTTTCATAAACTAATGTTTCAAAACAGAACAATAAAAAGAAAAGACTGATAAAAGACAGAGTGGGGTCAGTACAACTTAAAAAAAGTAACTGCATGACAAGACATGAAGGAGACAGCATCTAAAATGCAGTCATACATATTAAAAGGTCTCAGCAGTCCAGATACTTCCTCCTTCCTCTATATATAAGATCGAGCAAAAAGGAAAGCTTTAGACACTACAGACTATTACACTTTTGAGTTTTCCTGTCTGGTAAGTTAATTTTGTTTTATATTCAACCAAATTGAAATGTTGAGCTGTTTTAATGAATTGAAATTTCAAATTTGATACAACTCCCAACACAGATAACACATTTATGTCAGCATTGACTCATTTCTTTGTGTATTTGTCTAGATCAACAGTCGTGTCTTTGTCTAATCAATAATCATGTTTCTTCTCCTGTTCTCAAGTGAGTCTTTATCTATATTTTATTGCACTTGCCTTATTGTGACACAAATATCTCATACATGCTTTCATGTACTGTAAGAATTGCAGTAAAGATAATCGAGAGGTCTGAATTCAGCTGCTGTGATATTTGTCAGATTTGGCCTTTTTTCCCCCACTGTGTCACCCGCAGGTCTTTTCACCATCTCCTCCTGCCTTTCTCGACAATATTACTTTGTGAATAACAGGACAACCTGGACTGAAGCACAGGCGTACTGCAGACGGTACTACACTGACCTGGCCACTCTTGAGAACGCAAACGACACAAGCAGTTTGACTGCTGCTGTAAACAGCAGTTATAATGACCTGGCTTGGATTGGACTGTATGATGATGTGGAGAACAGCTGGAGATGGTTTTATGATAATGACTCCTTTTATGGGCCAGGAGAACGAGATTACAGGAACTTTAGAAAAGTTTCAGGTAATCCTTTGCTTAATGAGCCAAATAATTATGGTGGAAATGAGATGTGCACACAAATGATCACATCTGGATCTTGGAATGATATTACGTGCCTTACCTTATCCAGCTTCATTTGCTATGACAGTAAGTACAAACAACCATGCTAAAACCATGTTATACTTAAACACTTTATGTAAACTCTGCTTTTACATGTGGGATGATCCTAGTTGATGCTTTTCTCATTTTTAGAGACCAACATAAACAGTTATGTTAAGATTACAACGGCTATGAACGCCTTTAATGCTCGTCAGTACTGCAGACAGTATCACACAGACCTGGTCAGCATCAGGAATACAACAGAGAATGGACAGATTTTTAACATAGCAGCAGGACAAATAGTTTGGATCGGTCTTTACAGAACTAGACTATGGTCAGACCAGAGCAATTCCACTTATGAGAACTGGCTAACTGGACAACCAGATAACCTGAACTATATTGAACACTGTACTGCTGTATCTCTGGGTAATTCTGGACAGTGGACTGATGAGAACTGCAATCGAAACCTTCCTTTCTTCTGTTATAGGGGTGAGTCATTTCTCATCTAGAGCAAACTGAATCTGATGACTTTAGTTTGAAATCTGTAAGACAGTTCTTTTGTGAAAGGTGTTTGTGATCAATTTAATTCCATTTTTTTTCTCTATGGCAGATTCATCCAGATTGCCCACCCAAGGTAAATATCTGCACTGCATATCAGTTGGTGAAATGAATAATGCAGAAAAAAAAATCCACAGACTTAATAAACTATTTCTGTGAATAAAATTTGGGCAACAGACTCAAGGTAAACCTCTTTGCGATAAAAATATGACATTAGTAACAACTATCCTGAAGTAAGAATATTGAAAAAGCAAAGTAATAACAGGGAAAACTGATTTATTATTGCACAGCAACTGAACTCTTTCATTTGTTATTATAACAAGATATTTCAGTGTATACATTAGTACATGTTCAGTATATTAAACAAATTGATCATGGTCCAAACCAGGTGTCGGCAACCCAATTGTTAAGAAGAGCCATTTCGTCCTTTCAACAAAAATCAAACCACCTTGGGAGCCACAACATTTATAATATACCATAATAATATACCATCTTGGCTGTAAATATGTCTCAGTATGTGGTAATGTCCTAGTGTAGGCTAAAAATATAATACAAACAGAAACACAGACTTACTTTGCTCTGCCTTAAGCTTTAGCTTAGCTATAGCTGCATTTCTTGCACCTCCAGCGGGAAACCTTTCCCCAAAATAATTTCTTGTAAAATGTCTCTCAACATCCAATTTTGTACAAGGGTGAAGTCAGTTTCTCATTGGCCAGTTTCTTGTTAGAATTTTCATGTTCCACCTTAAATGGTGCCTGAGGCGCCAGAATGTAACTTCGGAATGGGAAAATTTGAACAAGAAGCTGGCGAACAAGAAGCTGACTTCAGCTTCTCATCTTGCAGATTAAACGTAGCAGGAAACCAACTGGAGTGCTAATAAAGGCAATTAAGTCCATTTGTCTCCAAATTATCAATGTTTGTCTGAAATCTCTCTCTTTACCTTTTTGTAGCTACTAACTAGGCGAGATTGTTGTCTGCATTGCTAGGATGACCAGTAGTCTGTGTGCCAACCTCCAGCATTTGTTAAGACTGTGCTAAAACGATCAACAGAGCTTTATTTTAATGCAAAGGAAGACTAGTTTATTTTTACCTAAATTCTAATTCTGCTGTGGAACCACAACAGAGCAGTAAAAGAGCTGCATGTTGCAGACCCCTGGTCTAAACAGAAAAAATAAATGTATACACATCTGACTAAACATACCATCCATTAAACACACAGTGGTTCTTTTAACAGCTGAGACAATTTCAACTGCAATTAGTTTCTCCTTTTCCCCTTAGAAAATGTGATTGGATTACGGGTTAGATTCACCTCTGTGAGAAACCTGACAGATTCTGAGATTGAAAATGTGGTGCTACAGCAAGTAAGAGATCACTGACTTGACAAAATCCAGCTTTACAACAGGCTTCAAACAATATTATCTTATTTATGGACATACATAATTTATATATAATTTAAGACTTAAGTGTAATAACATATAATGTACAAGTTTCCTCATACATATGTACACATCTAAGGCTACATTTCTCGATAAAGTGCAGCAGTTTGATCACATTTTATTCTGTCAGCTCCAGATGCAACTGATCAACAAAGGACTTCCGAGCACCATGAAGATGCAACTGAAAAGTATTCGCAAGAAAAATCTCTAAGCAAACTATCACATGTAGAGGACAACATTTAGGAAAGAGATTATTTAAAAGAATTTGTTTGCCAAATGAAAAAAAATCTGAATCTCTCAAAGGCTTACTCCTGTATGTGGCCATAACAGTCTGCAGTACTGCACTTGTCATTATACATTTACCACTCTTTTTTTAAGCAAGTAGTGCCCATTTTTGTGGGTTTTTTTGTGTGATTTATTATTTTAATATGATTTATTTGAAGTGTAATTTGAGAAACAGACATGCTGGTCAATATTTATTCTGAACTTACAACTGTATTTCTTTTCAAGTGCAAAGGTTTGCATAAAACCTAAAATATATTTATATGGTTATAGTATTATCTGTGGCAAATCATAGGTTGTATTCTTTCATGTTTCAGGAAAAACATCTCCATTTTTGTCATTTGAACGTAATTTGAAATCACAAGATGTCCTTTATGTGGTGTCAAATTTTCATGATGAATGAACCAAAACTACTCAGAATAAATCATGTCTTCATTAATTTCAAGTAAAGAAATTTAAAGGTTGAGAATTTGTTTTCCTCCTGTTGTAAACTTTTCAGAGATACTAGGTTGACAATATGCATTTTCTACAGTGCTTGCAATGCAAAAAAGTAATAAGATTAAATGCAGATTGTCACCTTGAAAAGGTCAAGTTAAATATTTAGACGTTATTAATAGTTATACACAGTATCAAATTTAAATCAACATTTACAGTTGAAAAGAGAGTCAAAGAGAAGTGTGCTCTCTTTTCCATCTACTGGACAAATATCAAAATTACCTCCCCCAAAAAATAATGTGCAGTAGAACTGAAATGCAACAAAATGAGAAAAGAAAGAAAAACTGAATTCTGATGAAAACATATGAAAAGCTACAATTGACATTGTGACGTCTTACATCAGTTTTTGCGAAGAAATGTGTGTGCCAACCAACACCTTCCGCACATACAGTAATAACAAGCCCTGGTTCACAGCCAAACTAAGACAGCTTCGTCAGACCAAGGCAGATGCCTATAGAAGTGGAGATAGGGCCCTGTACAAACAGGCCAGAAACTCACTGACAAAGGAGATCAGAGTGGTTAAAAGAAACTACACAGAAAAGGTGAAAAACAGGTTTACAGCCAGCAACCCTGCATCAGTGTGGCGAGGCCTCGCAGACATCATAAACTACAGGAGACCACCTCCCTCTGTTGAAGCAAACAAAGCCTCTATCACACCACTGGGAGCCCCCATGCCCCCCTAGACACTTAGGCTGAACTTAAGATTTGTGAAGCGGATGTGAGTCGGCACTTCCGGAGACAGATCACCAGAAAAGCACCAGGTCCAGACAATGTTTTCCCCTCCTGTCTTAAAGCCTGTGCTGACCAACTGGCTCCAGTCTTCACACAGATCTTCAACGGATGTTGCTCTGATGTCTGTGGTCATGAAGTCCTTTAAACGACTGGTGTTGGTCCACCTGAAGGATGTCAGAGGACACCTGCTGCACTCCCTGCAGTTTGCCTACCAAACAAACAGGTCAGTGGATGATGCAGTCAACATGGGACTGCACTACATCCTGGTACACCTTGACCACCCAGGGACATATGCAATGATCCTGTTTGTGGATTTCAGCTCAGCGTTCAACACAATCATCCCAGAAATTCTCTCCTCCAAACTTTTCTAGTTCACTGTATCCAACAGGACAAACAGGAAACAGCAGATGTGGCCAGGGGAAGTCTCTTCTGGGATACAGACAGTCAGCACTGGTGCTCCTTAAGGATGTATATGTTTTTAATCACAAGATCCAACTCCTGTTTATGCAGTATTGTGTTTATAACTTAGTTCAAGCACTCTGGATTTGTCCTAGCTAGATAATTACAGATAAGTAGGGCATGTTTGTTCAATCGGACATCTCCAATATCTCATTAAAAGAGAAATGAAAGTCAGGCTGTCCAGTAATTCACACAGAAAAAAGTAATACTACAGTGTCACGCTGTTTGAGGTGAACTTGGTTTTATCAAGTATGTTATTGCTCCAGACCTGAGAATTAAAACTGTGTTTAAAGTGTTCTTGTAGTACTTATGACTGAAAGCCTTCAGCCTGAGTGCTGCGGTAACAACCAAAGTCTTTGATTCGTTACATTGAATTAATAACATTTAATACACTTACATTACTGTGACTGCTTTGTTGTTTGCTGGGAAGGATAATTAAAGATTAGCCGTTATTTATACTTTATAAAAAAAAAACAACAACAACAACAACAAAAAAGAAATCGCGAGTGTCATCTGTCATTCCTGTCTGAAGCTCGCGAAGGAGAGTCGGAATTCAGCACAACACCGAAGCAACACCGTTCACTCCCTCATCTATACGGTCTATATACATGAACTAAGCTGCAAAAACAGGCCATTTTGAGTTTATTGATTTTGTGCTGTCACAAAAACCAACTCTTTGAAATACTGTATATCCATTCACGCATTTCGGTCTGCTTGGACCAATCAAAACAGAGGTCATATAAATATCAATCTTAAACGCACAGAAACAAAAACAGCCTGTTTAATTCTCAGGGATAAAGAGAGGCTGGACATGTAGGATATGGGCCGTTTAAACACAAAGATAGAAATACGAAGAGGAACATGATACAAGGAATTATTAACAATTTTTTAGAAGTAAAATATAAATAACCTGTGCAGGTTCATTTCAACGCAGTACTAAAAACTCACAAACACAGAATCAAAAAAACACAAAACCAGAATCAGAGTCATAAACAGCCCAGAACAGTCACAGAACCAAGGCAGCTTACAAAACCTAGCAAAAGTACCAAAGAGAGTTTAAAAAGGCCAAGAGTTCAGAAGAAAGCCCAAATAAACCATAAAACCAGGACACATTCAGCTACATGGCTCAGTAAGGAGAAGCTCTGGCAACACTTCACACAGGGTGTGTGATGGTGTGGGTGCTTATAAAGGGAGATAAGTGAGCCGCGGGTGAATGAAATCAAGGCATTACTATGAAACAGTTCAAAGCTCAGGTGAGGCTGACCTCTGGTGTTGAGGGTGGATATTACACCGGACAGGTGTTCAGAATAAACATGGAGGCGTGACGAAGAAAGAAGAAATAAAACACGGCTTCAAATGTAGCACTTACCTTCCTGAAATTCCAAAGACAGACTTTAATCACAACTTACAATTTTTTGCTTTGTTATGGTCATTTACTGTACAGGCTGTGTGTATGTGTATATTCTTAACTCATGAGGATTTGAGGCTCACTTCACAAGCCTCAGTGAGTCTCAAATCCTCATGAGTTAAGAAGTTAATTAATTAATTAATGAAATACTAAAGTAGTAGGACAGTTTGGTGGAATGAGCTCTCAGTCTTTTATACCTGAAATGACTACAGCGTTAAATATTTCTGCAAGAGTGTCATACACATGCACAGTTGTGTAGTCTCTCTCTCTCTGAATTGGATGTATAGCCTGAATATATCTCTTTTAAAATAAGATTATCTTATTCTTACCACATACACACACACACACACACACACACACACACACATATCCAGACATATCTATCTATCTATATATATATATACATAGTGAAAATGCTTCTATTTTGCATTCTTTTCTAATTTCTAATTTAATGATTTAATGCAGTAATTTTCATTATAAATGGTATTATCAATAGAACAATTTGAGCGAACAGTATAATCTTTGAAAAATCTACACAAATTTCAGAATTTCTTAGTATTTGATAGTTTATGTCCCTCTTTGGCTTTAATGACATCATGAACTTGACTTGGTGTGAACTCACAAAAGAATCTGATGAATAGACCAAACCCACCTGAGAGTTGTCTGAACACAAGCTTCAGTGGAAGAGATGAGACTCAAAATAAAATCTGACCTCTGTGTACAAAGGCCTCAAATTGTTCAATGTTACAAATTTGCCTGAATTTAAATAGTGACCTTATAATAGTGCAGAATGTTGAAAATTTCTTCTCCATTTTACTTTTCATAACTTTTCTTGTTTTAAATTTTTCAGAATTCTAAATCTAAAATGATGTTTATTTCCAGGTTTAAATGAAAAAGAAATTAAATGTGGACCTCACTGTATATAAGCATAACAACAAATGAACAAAAACATAAAATAAAACAATCAAAATAAAACATAATGAAAACAAACAAACAAATAGTACTTCTCCACTGCTCCTTATAAAATCAAATTCTTCCAGATTGCAAATTCTTTTTTCTGGGCTGCCTAAAGAGAATATATTTGCACTGAAATTGAATTATGTTACAAGAATATTTGCATTTACGATAAAGTGACTCAAAATACGTGATAGTGATTGTAGCCTCAGACTTCAAATGCATGTTTACATTTTAAGCTGCCTAAAATGCCTTACCTAAGCCTAAATGCTGACAACTATACCTACAAATATTGTGTGTCCCATTTGTTGGTTGTTGTGATAAAATGGAAACACATGACCCTGTTTCTGGCCTTCATCTCTCTTAGATCTTTAGGCATAGATCCTCATTAATTGTTGCCTCACTCTGAAAGTATCTGATTTGCATGTTGCTTGCTGAGTCTTGGTCATAGCATATACACTTGTGTCGTCATTGCCAGGGGTGTAAGGGTCTTCCAAACTTGTTTTGGAACTTTGTGTTTGTAATTTAGTAAGAGGTGTTGCACCAAGATCTGTTGTACCTGATGAAGGGCATATTCAGGACACAGTGCTTCTCGGGAGGTGAATGAGCTGTTAATAGTGCAGTAGGGAGGCTAGTTTGGCCCAGCTGAAAAAGACATGGTTCTTTGGTTGCATTTGGAGCCAGGACCTGTCAGCAGAGCCTCCAAGTAGCTGGGAATCTGCTGATTACAGAAAATGTGCCACTCGATCTGCTCGCTGTAGATCAATTACCGGAACAGTATCGGCTGGTGGGAGAATCAGATTGCTATATATGATCATGACTGGCTCATCAAGATTTTTTTCCAAAATGTATATCGGTTATTGATAATTTTTTATTAAGAATAAAGCTAGTCATCTCAGCATTTCAGACGTGTGTAGATTCCAATTATATTACACCATGAGAAAGAAATCTCTTAAACTCACCATGAGACAAAACAAGGACAACAGGATGAATTAACTTACCAAGAGACAGAGAACATTTAATTCTCTATAGAGAAGTTAATTTATCATTTTATCACAAACTCAACAGCAAACTTAGGTAGTTTCAGTGATTTTGAAGTTAGTAAAATTACTCAGTGCCAGTACTTATTTCTCTCTGTATGTGTTTGGTCCTCAGAGTATGTTTCTACTTCTGATTTCTTTGGTATTATGAAATTGTACCATATGTTTTGATATGATTTTAAGAGAAATCTGAGATTGGAAATTTGATACTATGGCAAGCAAAAGATCAGCTAACAGCTGTAAACCATTGTGAATACTATGAACATCTATAACAGGCACATTTTAATGCTTACAGAATCAAATATCTAAAGATATATTCTAAATTTAAAGACTGAAAATATAAGGAAAAAAATCAAGAGAAGAGTCTTCATTTACCAACTGTTCTTAAGAAGAAATTTCTTCTTAAAACACAGTTTTCACAAAGATTCTGACATTCACCAATGTTTTCTTATTTGGGATTTGTTCTATGGTAAGAACAGAATCTACACAATCAAGAGCACAAAGGTGTGAACAATTCTGCAATGTAACACGTCATGAATCTGAAAGACTTTTTTATTAGGACTTTTCTCAAGAACAAATTTAAGAGAAAACTTAGGAAGTTATTAGTGTATGAGGCCCCCTGAGAGCGACAGAGTGGGAGGGAAGAGAGAAAGTGCACTGAACAATTTTGCAGGAAAATAAATTACGTCTTGCTTATTAAGATGTCTCAATAGTGCAGCTGCTTTCTCTTTCCATTCCATATAAGATCTGGCAAAAGCAGCAGTCACACAACACTCTTGAATTTTCCTCCTTAGGTTAATAGCAATGTTTAGCTGCTGAAGTGACTTAAATTGGAAATGTAGATAAAAGTTTCAAGACAAATGACATGACTTAATATACATCCATATACATGTTTCTTCTTCTGTTCTTGTGTTAATTTAATCTATTTTTTCTTCTATTTTAACTTATATTTTATATTGACACTGCCTTTTTTTACCCAGTGTCTGTGTGTCCCACAGGTCTCCTCTCCCTCTCCTCCTGCCTTTCTGAACAATATTACTTTGTGAATGGGAATAAAAACTGGACTGAAGCACAGGCGTTCTGCAGAAATAACTACACTTGCTGATCTGACCACTCTTGAGAACAACAACACAAGTAGTTTGATTACTGCTGTAAACAGCTGTTATATGGCCTGGCTTGGATTGGGCTGGATGATGATGTGGAGAACAGCTGGAGATGGTACTATGATGATGATTCCTTCTGTGGGGTCCGAGAACTGGAGGAAGACTGGAAGCGTTACAGAAATTGAGACACATAATTATGTTGGAAATGAGATGTGCACAGAAATGTATCCAACTGGCTTTTGGAATGATTTTCAGCACAATCGCCATCTCCACTTCATTTGCTGTGACAGTGAGTACCATAAAAAAAAAACAATTTGTCTTTCATAATAAGCACTTTATGCAAACTTGTTTTTTTATCTGTGGGATGATGCTAATTTATATTTTCCTACTGTTGTAGAGGTCAACAAGTTATATTATGATCAGTGCGAGTATTTGGTTCATGGTTCCAGGTTCATAAACATACAGTTTTATAAATTTAGGATATATTGCTCCACAAAGCACAGAATTTCTTTCATCTTTTATTCTGTCAGCTCCAGAAACAACTGACCAACAGAAGACTGCCGAACACCGTTGCCTTTGAAAAATGTTCTCAAGAAAATGAACACATCTTGACAAATACATGTAGAGGAGTGCAGGGATGAAAGTTATAAAAGGGTTTTGTTCCCAAATGCATTACAGACCACTTTGAAAAAATGTCTTTTTGATGATATTTGTTGTTGGGAGTAGGCTTAGCACACACAAGAAATATCAATGCTTTTATGACATCTTTACTGGAGAAATTTAGAATGAAACTGTTCAATTGCTTTTGCAGAATAAATCATCTGACCTGATATTTATAGCTGTTTTTGTTTGTAAAAGCTCTTAATTTTTATTAATTTTGCATGTAGCTGCTAGATTATGCACACTAAATCATCTGCTGTTTTCAGCACTGCACATTGTAGCTTTAGTGCTCTTTTAAAAATAACTGGTGACTGTTTTTATGTCAAATGTAGGACTTTCATTTCCCCTCTCACTTTTTTTGTGTTTTTATCATGTATGTCTTTCAGTCCTGTGTTGTTACATTCAGGGCTGTTTCTGAACATCTGGAGGCCCTAAGCAGCACATTAAGTAACCCCCTCCCCACTGCCCCAATCATATTATTCTCTATGCCAGAATGAAAAATGAACTAATGTTTTATTAAATTAAAGGAGTGGCATTAGTGAATGTAAAACTGGTTTCTGAAATTAAAAGTTCATGCAGTCAAAACATTTTATCTGATGTTATTTGAAGTGTAATGTGAGAAACTGACGTGTTTCTTGCACCACCTAGTGGACAACCTCCTCCAACATAAAGACAGAATGCTGGAGGAAAAAAAAAGACAAATAGAATTGAAAGCAAATGTTTTAAATACAGAGATGGGGGAATAAAAAGGAACAAGAAATGAACAGATTTTGAAGAGAAAATATAATTAATCTGAGTATATTAAGATAAAAAAAAAGCACTTACCTTTCTGAAATTCCAAATTTAAGACTTAAGTCCTCATTTACGTCTTTTTTCTCTGATGTGGTCACCACATCTTATCTGTTACTCACCTCTGTGATGGAAAGGGTGGAATATTTAATGTAAAACAGGCTGCCACAAGATTAAAAGTACATCATAAAGAATTCTTAACTCTGGTTATTTTGTCTGATGGGATGGATGTGATGCTTGACACGCCCTGTTAAAGATGCAGAAAACAACAAATTATCAGTGTTGAAATAAACATAAAACGTACCAGCTTTTTAACTCCTTGGAAGGCTTACATGATGATACTTATTGTTCATCATGTCATTCACAGTGACAGTAGATTATTTTTATGGATAAACAAGCAGGAGTGATCAGGTGGAAAGCAAAACTCAACTCAAAAGGACAGATCAATTATTAAGATATTTGATTTTTAAAAATATTTTATATTCTATTAATATATCTGTGTGAAAACAGATGAAAGGTCTGAGAGTGGCAAAGATTTGAAGTTAATTGTTCTTATTTAGTAATATCTAAGATGGAACAAAAATCTGTAACCTTAATAAACTTATAAATAAAAATTATTAATGATGAACTTTGATGTTAATACATTTATACTATATACTTTAATACTGATATTAATATACTCAAGCTTAATTTTTTTTGTCCACATTGCAACAGTTGATGTGGACTTAAACAGCACTGTTTTGAGAGAGATAGAGAGAGAGAGAGAGAGAGAGAGAGAGAGAGAGAGAGACTGTAGGAGACTGTAGAGAGTGTAGGACAGTAGGACACTTACGTAGAATGAGCTTTAAAGATGTGTCCTTCAGACCTGAAATGACCACAGGGTGGCAAAATAATTCTAGCAAGTTGTTGTGCACATGTGCAGTACATTTTTTCAGTGTCTCACACTCTCTAGTGGCTTGGATCTGCTCTTTTACTGTAAGACTCCTTACTGTTGACCTGATGATGTAGTAATAATGGAAATGAATATGCAAATATATATTTCTGACAGTGTGAGTAGAGTTCCAGTGAACTTGGAAAAAACATGCACCATGCCAATACAGTGTTCACTGGATTTATGCTCTCCAAGGTAAAAAATGTTTTGTCAGGTTAACTTTAAAAAATAGTTCATGTGGTAACAAGCAATGAACTGTAATACTTAACTCAAACACTTTCAATGGAAAAAATAAAGTAAATAGGGTATACAAATAATATTCTACATCAGTTTAAACTTAAAAAATACTTCATCTGTCCCACTTTTTACAGTGCATAGGAAACATAATTTAACATGACATAAGGCAAGTGTTTTAAGTCAAGCAGTTTGATTTTATTATGTATCATCATGTCATGGTGATCATCAGTTATGATCATGTGAATCCTTCTTACAGGTCCATATCAAACCAACCAGTCATTGCTACCGTACAACAATGTGCATCATTTGATGCTTGAGGCATTGAAGCAGTTGTTTTCTTGCTGATTGAGATTAGCTGATTTAAAGGGACTCACTGTACATGTCAGCCAGCCAATTCAGTCAAAACATACTGCATAATCACTAACAATGAAATATTCAGAAAACAAACAACATTTCTCCACCACTCTGTCCTTTCCATCAAATAAAGACATTCAGAACATTCTCTCAGAATGGAAAACGTTCTTTCTGCTGAGTTGCATACAGCTGTGGAAGCAATGGTGAAGTGAGTAAAATACAGCTTTTGGATTCTATTCTCTGTAACTGAAACTTCTTGAGATGATTTCTTCTTTAAAAACACCCACATACATAAACCCAAACCCAGCTGCTTGCCTCTGGTGTATCAACTCCACAGCCAGACATAACAAACCTGAACTCTACTGACTGTTCTCATGGAGGGTCAGAGAGCTGGTCTAATATCCGTACTTAGTGAACTGTATATTAGTCACTGAACTCGGTTTACTTGCAGACTTTAGGTTTTAGAGTCTGATGTTAGATTACGGACATTATATCTGTGGAACACAACTGTACAGAAAATTGTCTGTGGTATACTATACATTCTCAACCTGATTTACATGACCATGAAAATGTCACTGTTAATCAACATTCCAGTGGCAACACATAACATTCTGACAACATTGCAGGAACACACAATTTTTTCCAGCTATAACACATACACACATACAAACTGGTGACAAATTAGAGGAAAAACATACATAACAGGAAAAACATAACCCTAACCCTAGAAGCTTCCAGACAGGTATACTGCATGACACGATGCAATTAACATCCTACCATGCGCTGTGCCATGTAGAAAAATACCAAGCAGGCCCGGTTGAGCTCGATATTCTCCACAAGTGGGCGAATGTATGTGTTGTGCACACCAAGAGAATGGCACTGCTTGACCCCACATTTCTGTTCTGAAGGGAGTGGATTCTGACAATTCCCCCCATACACAGGGCATTTCATGGTTTGATATATATAAAAATGTATAAATCATTCTTTACAGTCACCAGATCTCAATCCAATTGAGATCTCTAACACCTATGTGAGATTTTGGACCAGCATGTTAGACACTCCCCACCCACATCATCAAAACACCAGCTAAGGGAATATCTTTTGGAAGAATGGTTATTCCACCTCTCCAGTACAGTTCCAGAGACTGTTCTGGCACACTAAAGCTGTTCTCCCAACACCTCCTTAAGACACTTTACATTCGTTTTTCCTGTAATTTGTTGCTCATGTATGTATGTATATATGCATATAAACATTAAAATCAAATGTATTTTGCCAGTTTGTCTGTGTGGCAACCATTGCATGGCACTAGGAAGTCTGCCTGGCCTGTAGGTTTTCTAATAAGAGAGCATGTGCTCTTTAGGCTTTGGCATGTTCCAGACCATGAGTTGAAGAAGGATGAGTGCCAGTGTTGAAATCTCAAGCTTAAAAGCATTGCACAGTGAATTGTATCTAGGTCAAACACATATTCAAATTATTCAACGCTATTTAGTATTTGGTAAATTAAATGGCTCACATACAGTATTTACACAGAGATGATATATTTAAAAATGTAAGATAGTATTAGATGCAGAACCACAAACCACTAGGAAGACATGAAGGCATTTGATATACAATATAAAGTTCCCAAAAATGGATATTGTGACTTCAGCATATTTGCATTTAAGATCAACTGACTTAAAATATGGCTTATGAGTGTGGTGCAAAAATAAAACTGTCTGTTATGACTGTGTGTTAGATACAAAATATTTGTAGGCAATATATATCATTACTAGGAATCAGTGAGTTTTTCTTGGCACACTAACTCTCTTATTAATGATCCGTTATTTTATGCTGACATATGTGACATAATGAAGCCTATATCAGACAAATACAGAGGCTACAATGGAAGGCAACGTGCTGTATGCTTGTAGCTGAAGTACTCATAATGCAATGTGTTTGTGTGAGGCATTGTAGCAGAGCAAAGCCCTTTGTGAGGCAAAACTGGTGATGCACTAAAGAACAAATAAACTGTTATTAAAAAAAGAACATAAACACAAAACACATACAATTAATGTGCTTCACTATAAGCAAGAGGCATGTGTAGTAAAGCTTCTGGCACAGAGAACACTCCACATTTTTCTGCTTCTCAGATTCACTAACTCGAGCCATTTCATGTCCTGTTCCACATTCCTCACTGTAGGATTAGGAAATCTTGATCCAAGCTCTCCAACAGAAGTCAAACATCTCTTTCTGATGAACCAAAAAGTCCCAAAGCATGTTTAAAAGATCGTTAGACATCCAGTATCGGCAACACAAGTATATTTGCATCGACTAAGACTCAGCAAATAACATGCAAATCAGATTATTTCCAGAGGAGGCAACAGTGGCTGAGGATCTAAGCCTAGACTAACAGTCTGGATAGATGAAGGTCAGAAACAGGGTCACGGTGTTTCCATTATGTCCTATCAGCTGAAAAATGGGACACACTGTATTTGTAGGTATAGTTAGTATTTAGGCTTAGGCAATTAAGCTACATGCACAGCCTGACAAGTCTAAGACAAGTCTAATCTCTGGTAATTTTGTTAAACTTGACTATGTAAAACCAAAATTTTGGTCCTATGGTATTTGTGATGCTGTCTTGTCTTTACCTCTGAAAGACATGCTGGGAAATTTAGTGCTGATTTATCTTCCTCTGTCTAACCACTGGATAATATGGTTTTAGAAATCTGTTGCTCTTTGTATCTGGCTTCACACAGTCTTGCATAGATATCTTTAGTCCTTATCAAGATTCATTGCTTTCCTCTCTTTTGTTGGTTCATGCACCTTTATACATCTGGAATTGTTCCATTGCCCTCAGCATGAGTTGTTTTGCAAAGGCATAGTAGTACACAAATCATCTTTATATGATAGCATCACTGCCAGTACTCTTTACAACAGTTAATCTGATGCAACACTACAAAGGGAAAAATCCACCCAAATCATATTCCTCTTCAAAGCCTAAATCTGTCTGGTCCTACAGGTTTCATTCGCTATGGGAAAAAACAGGACTACCTTAGTCTTTATTTAGCCATCCTGCTATTTCTGATTTTTAGGTCAAACTCTTCTCTTTAAGAGATGTCCTCTACCGAATGACAACTCTCCTCTCCATGCACTATTAACACGGGGAAAAAAAAAGCATCCTGATATGGAGGAGGGCGATCTCTTTCTCCCTCTCTCGCTTCCTCTCCTTCACCTTCCTCATGTTGCTCCCCTACCTCCTCCTCTCTGTCCCCACCTTCCTCCCTTGCCTCCTCATTTCCCTCTACTTCTTCCTCATCCCCCTCTCCTCCCTCCAGCACTCCTCTGCTCTCCTCGTCTTGTCTTGACCCCAAACCAAGGAACCCTCCACCTCCACCTCCACCTCCACCTCCACCTCCCCCTCCACCAGCAGTCCCTTCTTCCCCTCTTCCCCCTAGTCCTCCACCCACACTGCGGGAATGAAACAGTGAGGTGGGCCGTGAGGCCTGGAGGCGTCCCAGGGAAAAGCCGCTCCTGCTCAGAACCAGCCTCCCTGGACCCCCAGTAACACCTCCCACTCCTCCAGCCCTCATACCAGCCACGGTGCTGCTCAGCAAGGCAGCCGTTGGGCCTCTCAGCCTGGAAGGGAGTGAGGCGCTGCTAGTGGATCGCCGACAGCGAGGGCAACTTTGGAGCAGGTAGGCTGAAGTGAAAGCAACAGGTAGCGTTGGGCCACCTCCGACGGAGTTTGAGCCAGCCGGAGGAGGGTTGGTGCCTTGGTTGCCATCCGAGCCAGGATCCATCAGCAGAGCCTCTGAATAGCTGGGAACCATTTGCTGATTGCAGCGAATGTGCCACTCCAGCTCTGTCATGTCGACAGTGTTGACTCGAGAGATGGCGCGATAGCTTGATCCAATACCCCCTCCATTTCCGTTCTCATTTATCCCTCCATTCTCGCTTCCATCCCCTCTGCCGCTGTCATCTCCATCCCCAAACAGCTTCTCAACATGGTAGTGCACGTATGCAGTACGATACTCTGCAACAACACGTAGCGGCCAGGACAGCAGCAGAGCTGAGGCGAGCCAGAACACCCTCCGACGGGCATACCAGGGCTGGCGTGCAGGGTCAGGGAAGGCCAGCATGTGCTCGCGGAAGTCCACATTCTTTAGGTGCATTCCCTCCCGTGCCTCCATATAGTCATCCAGGCCCTCATTTTCACCAAAGAAGCGTGCCCGCTGCGTGAGGTAGGCAGCCTCTGCCCGAGCACTGGAGAAGCTGAAGCACTTTGTGAAGCGCAGCCGCACTGCTGGGTGATCCATTAGGCCTCTTAGCTCCTTTGAGACATCTTTAACGCCGAGCCTCGCATAGTCAAACTCAGAGCTTGCGGCATGTGTGTTGACACGCTCGTGGTACACTTGTGTGGTGGTGTAGGCATCGCCGTTGCGGTAGCGTGTCACCTGTCTGGTCCTTCGCACATAGTGGTAGCTGATGGCCTTCCACCAGATGCATGGCGTGGCCTGTTGAAGCCGCTGCACGCGCTCATACACCTCAGCAACCTCGGCTTGAGCCAGCATGGCAGTCTTGGAGTAGCAGTGCCAGCACTCCACCAAATACACCACATACAGCATGGCCAGGAAGGCCAGAGGAATGTAGACGTAGCCACTTGAGCAGGGACTGTCCAGAGCCAGCTCATCTGGGCTGAAAGCGATAGCAGTAGCAGAAGTTGTGGATGGGTCCCCAGGCTCCATGACTGCAGCGGCAGGCTCTGCTGAGGCTAATACCGGAACCTTGCATAACCCACACCATGCCAGTGTACCAAAACAGCCATACATAAGCAGTGTGAGGAGCAGACACTTCCAGTGAGACTCCCGACACAGAGAGCTGGCCAGGGACTGCTTCACCGGACGCTGCTGCAGAGCAGGGATACAGAAAGAAGGAAAGAGGAGAGAAATTTAACATCTTGTTACAGCTTGAAAGGCCATCATTATAGTAACAGTCTTCTTAAAGTGCTAATGCCCAATATAGGTAAATTTGTCAGTACTTTACAGTCTGATGGGAGGTTTGATGTTCACAGCTGGCTCACCAAGTGAGTTTATGTATATGAAGTGTTTCAATGATAAAAGTCTAAACTTTATTGCAGCAAGTATGTAGTAAGAGAATAGTAAGAGAAGCTGTAATTCACTGAGGGTTTGTAAATATATTAACTACATAGCAAAGTTAGGCAGTTCCAGTAAGTTAAAATTAATCACTGCTAGTGTTGAATCAGTTTTCACAGAACTAGAACATGCTTGGTTTACTGCTGCATATGTGAATAACTCTGGATGGTGGACTGATGAAAACTGCAATCGTACCCTTTCTTTCATCTATTATAGAGGTTAGTCATTTTAAATCGGAAGAACAATTTGTCATAAAATCGATGTTATGATAAATGTCATCACAGTTAATGAGTTTCTTTTCCTTTTTACAGAATGTGGATATCCAACCCATGGTAAGTATCTGTACAAGAGTTCTCGAAGTCTGATCTTGGAGGGCCCAGCTTCAGAATAGTTTGGTGGTTTCCCTGGTCCAACATACTAGATTCAACACATCTGTTTAGGTGTAGAATGTGTGTTAGAGCAGTCATTAAACTGTGCTTGAACAGTCTTTTCATAATTTCTATTTGTCCTGAACATTGAAGAACAGGGTAAAAGGGGGCTAACAAATTATGCATAAAACCAGATGTATTACAGTATGTAAATGTAGAACTACAAAGTTCTCCTAAATGATAAATGTGTATATATATATGTGTGTGTGACTCTAATGCTGATCGCATGGAGTTTATTGATGAAGTAAGAACCCGTTTTTGTTTAAACTGAGGGGCTGAAAACTTATTTTCTTAACTAGAACTAGGCTAGTCAGCTAGCCAACAGGCTAGAAGATAGTAAACATGCTACACAACTCCAACATTAATATAACAGGCTTGAATTAAAGTACTCACAATATGATTCACCGAAAATAGCAATATAAAAGTCTACAGAATGTCACCTGAATGGCTTACACGCTTCAAATGTTCGCGTTTCAGTCAGAAGTGTAGCATCAAACTCAGACTGAATCCCAAAATGCTCCGTACTCCCTAGCTAAATAGTGAGCTGTGTAACATTAAATTTAGAAATTCTAGCTTCTGCTGTCAAATAGTGCATCTTGCTTTGTTGGGGTGCAGGAGTCAGTTTTTAAATTCCTACGTAGTGCACTATGTAGGGAGCAGGGAGCCGTTTGAGATTCAGCCCCAGCGTGAAAAAAGCGGCATCATCAGACTGGCAGAAAAAGACTCGCGGTGGTAATTTGGTGACCAAAAAGTACTTATAAACTGAAAGTATTTGCATTAAATAGTGCTATGTTACATATGCTCACTGTTACATAAAAAAAGTTTTAGAAAATCATGAAACGAATGCAGTTTACAGTGATTGGCGACCGAACGTTCTTCTTCTCATTCAGCGGTCAATGATTGCTTAGCATCGATACCGCACTCTAAAGGAGCTACATTTCTTGCCTGAATACTTGTTTATGTCAATTATTATTAATAATAACTTAAACATTGTGTAATGTAAAATATTTTATGTTTTATATATATATATATATATATATATATATATATATATGTCTCCTTCTCTCCTTATAAAATGTGATTGGACTGCAGGTTAGATTCACCTCTGGGAAAGATCTGAGTCAGAAATCAAAAATGTGGCGCTGCAGGAAGTAAGAGATGATAAACTTGTTAAAATCCAGCTATGTAACATGATCGTACTGTTTTACAGATCTACACTTATGTTTCTTGAGGAACTAAAGTACTTTGATGTCCTTCTATTCTATCGGCTCCAGACACAAATGATACATAATGGACTTCTGAGCACCATCAAACTGCACTTGAAAAGCGCTGTTAAGAAAAATCCTACCACATTTTAACAAATAAGTGTGAAGGACTACCACATTTAGGACCAATCAGAGACTGACAAAGAGTGTAGGGAAAAGGGTATTTCAACTGCTATTTGCAGCTGTTCTTGTACAATTTATTGGACTTTTACTGGTTATTTTCTGAATTCAACATATTGGGGAAAAAACTAAAATATAATATGTGACCTGTGCAAAAGATATGGCATGTTTTATGTTTTACATATTCCAATATGTCAAACTTCGAAAATAAATAGAAATTGTGCAATAAAATTTACAGAAAATGTCATATTTCTTTCTCTGTTTGTGGAAAATATTGACTTTCCACCTGAGGTTTTCTTTAGATACTTTTTCATAATGGCTAGCATACTAATAATATGAAGAAGTTGTAGTTGTCTCTATATCATCATAAAAGACGTCTTTTTAATCTGAATCATGTAAACACAAATTCACAGCAGACTAAAAACAAGATCAGTCACACATTCTTGAGTCAAGAAAGAAGGCTTTCTGCTGCCACCCAGTGTAACAGTCAATAATAGCACCTCACCCATCCCAGAGGGAGGGAGACGCAGGGTTCACTAACTCTTTCACTTTCTCTCCATCTCTCACACCTCACAGAGGGCCTATAGCATTACAGTATACTCCATGACAACAAATAAAAAAACAACTGCACACATAACATTGCTTGTATATTCACATATCAATTATTTACATAACTTGTGACATTTCTGAATGTTAGCCAAGTCATTTTGTACTGCAGACGCAGGGACGGGTTCATATTTCAATTGTAAACTACTAAATTGCTTAAAAATGTAAAATAAAATTAAATCAATTTCTTTTATTGAATTTGTCATATCAATAGTAAGTAAACAGTGATACTGAAGGGAGTGAAAATGATACCTTACTGATTCTCACATAAGGATATTCTTCTGGATAATCTATTTTGGTCACTGCATTAATCAGTATAGTCCATATAATCTTAATCAAGGACTGGTATAATTATACTACTGCTTATGATACAGCTCATACTGTACATCTATTCCTTAAGAACAGAAGCCTTATTTTTTAGAAAGAAACATTATTTTTTAGCATTTCTGTTGTTTTCTATTTTGTTTTCTGAATCTTTTTGGAAGAATTCGTATTTGTCAATAAAAGCTTTTACTCTGTAACAATGAATGAGCAGCTGCAAGCACAGGTAGTCATATTTACACATAATTTACATAAAGGTATAGCAGTACATCTCTCTTTTAGTGTATTTAGCTCAGCTGAGCTTGCACTTTGCTCTGATTAGTTATTTGATTAATTAGTTATTTCACTGGCATTCTTGCCAGCCTTCTTATCAGTTACCTTTATTCGTTTTATTCATTTTTTCTTTCCTAATGCTCTTAGTTTACTTTAACTAAGCTTATACACACAAAACCTTAAGACAACTTCCACAGATTTTGATCATTTTCTTCATAATTAAATAGCTGAATTGTAAAAGTCATTTAGAGTGGTTTGATGTGAAATAGTTCATTGTAGAGAAACTTGACTCAGATTTATTTACAGTGGCGGTGACAGGAACCAAGCTTTGTGATATCTATGATGCAAGTACATCCTCTTTATGTACTATCCAAAACAACCAGTGAATCAAAATGTGTCTCCTTTATATGTTATATATCTTTCATATGTTTTCTATTTTATATGTTATGTTGATGATGCCATTTTCACAAAAAACATGTCTCCGTCATCAGGCAGTGTATACAGAACCATTCATGTAATAACTTCCTGAGAAGTAGCTTTTAGAGGCATTAAAATCTTGAGATGTCTGGTTCCTATCACCACCACTGTGAACAATTCTAACTGGTAAGTTTATCTAGAATGGAGCATTTCACATCAAACCATTCTGAATGACTTTGTTTCCATCTTAACACTTTAAGTATACAGAAATTTTGACAAATTTGTAGATTCTCCCTTTAAGTCCCTTCAGTACTATTCATGCATAATAATTTCCCCCATAAAGTATGCAGTGCACTAATATTTCATAATTATTTTTCATTTCATTATTATGACTATCTAACTGTAATACAGCTGGCTAAGCAGCTATAAATATGATCTTCACTAGCAAGCTAATCAGCTTGCTAAGTTTCCTAATGTAATTTTAGCTGTGATGCGAGACTGTCAGCAATTTCACTTGAAAGGAAATATGAGGAAAGCCATAACATTGTTTCATTAGAAGCAATGAAGAGGTGCAAAGCATGAATGACTGGTCCTAAGCAGATGGACACAAGAAACCAAAAACGCATTTTAATGATGGCCCAGCAGTTACTATTTCTGTATAGTATTGATTGAGTCCTTTGAAAATGTCTTTCAACTTATCACCTTAGTGAACCTGGAAAATGCATTCTAGCATTCTAATGTTAAGCAGTAACTGCTACTGCTGCTTATATCTTCATTCTAATACATTTTTAGTGCAAAGACTGCAGCCAAAAAAGGAGGAGATAAATCAGATTTAAAGCAGCAAATGCACATTTGCTGATCCTCTCACATTAGCCAGACCGCAAGAGCGAGTCTCATATACACAAGAATCACAGAAGTGCATTAAAACTTGAAACGCATTAAGATGGGCAAATCGATGAATAACAATGCATATGCAAGAGAGAGCGCAAAGGAGAGAAAGAGAGAGAGATAGAGAAATAATAGCAGAGTGATGCAAGTGTCCTAGCCACATCCAGATGCCCTGTCATCTGTTTTCTCTGTCCATCTTTTCTTTCCCCAGCTGTATGGTGAGAGTTGTATAGGCTTCCTAGCTTTTGAAGCATCTCTCAGTTTCTCTCTTTCTTTCTCCTGTCCCTTTCTGTGAAAAGTTGAGGTAAGAAGTCATACAACAAATGAATGATTCAAACTGCTCCACACCACCAAAACAGGGCAGCACTCTCCATTTCTACTACCTACAAAACTCTACAGACGCTGTATTCTGCCTCCCCCTCATCACTCTGTCTCTGTGTCAATTGATTTTAGTGTAACAGGACACAGGAGTTTAACTCAGCAACTACGATGAAGAGTGGGGAGGTTCAGAGAGAGAAAGAGAGGGAGAGAGAATAGCAGAGTGTACACTACAAAGCACAAAAGTGATCTGCAAATCATGTAAACCATATTTTTTAAAGAAAATACTACAAAGACAACATATCAAATGTTGAAACTGAGAAAGTTTATTGTTTTTTGAAAAATATATTCCCATTTTGAATTTAATGCCAACACCACATTTCAAAAAAGTTGGGACGGGGGCATGTTTACCACTGTGTTTCATCATCTCTTCTTTTAACAACACTCTGTAAGTGTTCGTGAACTGAGGAGACCAACTGCTGTAGTTTTGAAAGTGAAATGTGTCTCATTCTGGTGGCATGGTGGCGCAGTGGGTAGCGCTGTCGCCTCACGAGAATGGCCTGGGTTTGATTCCCGGCCGGGCGACCAGGGTCATTTCTGTGTGGAGTTTGCATGTTCTCCCCGTGTCTGTGTGGGTTTCCTCCAGGTACTCCGGTTTCCTCCCATAGTCCAAAGACATGCTGTCAGGCCAATTGGACATGCTGAACTGCACCTAGGTGTGAGTGAGTGTGTGACTATGTATGTCTGTCTGTCTGCCCTGTGACGGACTGGTGACCTGTCCAGGGTGTATCCTGCCTTCTGCCCAATGACAGCTGGGATAGGCTCCAGCACCCCACCGTGACCCAGAAGGATAAGTGGTTTAGATGATGGATGGATAGATTGATGTGTCCCATTCTTGTTTGATATTGGATTTTCAGCTGCTCAACAGTTTGAGGGCTCATTTGTCATATTTTTCATTTAGTAATGTGCCAAATGTTTTCAGTGGGTGACAGGTTTGGACTGCAGGCAGGCCAGTTTAGCACCCAGACTCTTTTAATAAGGAGCAATGCTCTTGTAATACACGCAGAATGTGGTTTGTCATTGTCTTGCTGAAATAAGTAAGGTCTCCCATGAAAAAGATGTCATCTGGCTGGCAGCATATGTTGCCAAAACATTTTTATGTTGTTCAGCATTAATGGTGCCTACACAGATGTGCACGTCTCCCATGCCATGTGCACTAATGCACCCCTATACCATCATGAATACTGGCTTTTGAACTGTGCACTGATAACAAACTGAGCGGTCTTTAGCCCGGAGGACACAGTGTCCATGATTTCCAAAAAGAATTTCAAATGTTGATTCGTCGGATTACAGGACACAGTGTCTATTTTAAAAGAGCTCAGGCCCAGAGAAGGTGGCAGTGTATCTGGATCCTGTTTAAATATGGTTTCTTCTTTGCGTTTTAGAGTTTTAAGTTGCACTTGCAGATGCAGTGACAAACTATTTTCACAGACAATGATTTTCAGAAGTGTTCCTGAGCCCATGCAGTGATTTCCACTAATGAATCATGTCTGTTTTTAATGCAAAGATGGCCAACAAATACTGGTTTTCAGCCTTGTCCCTTGCATTCAGAGATTTCTCCAAATTCTCTGAATCTTTTAATGTTATTATGTACTGTAGATGATGAAAAGCAAAAGTTCTTTGCTATTTTATGTTGAGAAACGTTATTCTTGAATGTGCTCATGCAGTCTTTCACAGAGTGGTGAACTCCTCCTCATCTTTACTTCTGAAAGCCTCAGCCTCTCTGGGATGCTCATTTTATACCCAATCATGTTACTGACCTGTTGCCAATCAACCACCAGGTGTTTTTTTAGCATTACACAACTTTACCAGCCTTTTGCTGCCCCCATCCCAACTTTTTGGAACAAGTTGTTGGCATTAAATTTAAAATGGGCATACATTTTTTCAAAAAACAATAACATTTCTCAGTTTCAATATTTGATATGTTGTCTTTGTACTATTTCCAATGAAATATAGGATTAAAATGATCCTGATGATGTTTACATTTTGCACAGCGCCCCAACTTCTTTGGAAATGGGGTTGTATATTTATAACTTTATTATAAGGAAAAAATATGATTTTTAGCTATTTGTAGCTTTTTAAAGACACATATATTTAACATATCTTTTGGGGAAGAATAACATGATGAAATAACAAGAAACTTGTAACCAGTGCTACAATATTCAGAGACAGGCTGCTCAAGACTGCACAAATCAGCTGTCACTTTCCCAATATTTCTGCTATAAATTTACAGATTTATCTTTTTACAGTGTAAGGAAGTTTTATATCAGAAGTGGTGTAATTCAGAGAGCCTCAGGTTCAGGCTTAGTCTGGCTTTGTCCAGTGCTACATGTCTGCTGGTCTAATTGAAGTCTTTATTTAGCATGAAAACCAGAGACTTCCTTTGATCTGACATTATTTGATCTGGCATCCTGCAGACTACAGAGAAAGAGAAATGGAAGACAGAGGACAAACAACAGAGGAACCAAAGATAGTTAAACAGAGAGACAGAAAACTATCCCCTGGGGAACAATACTGGGGGTGCAGTGATACACTCAGATCAAGATTCGGTTTAATTCACGAAACTGGGTTTACAATTTGGTGTTTTCACAATGTTTTAACTATAATCATGTTGTTAACTATAATCATACTGCTGCACAGCTTACTAACAACACTAGAACTAGGAATCAGCAGGAGAAGGAGTGCTGGAATGAGTTGTTGATTTGTGATGATTGTTTGGAAACCTTGGTATTCAATCAATGCAATTGCATTAGACGGCATAATTAATATGCAGCTGTTAAGTCTCAGGTTTTACCCAAGAGACTCACTTTTTAGCCTTTACTGCTGCAGTCCCGGTGAATGTAGATCACAGATTTTTGTGTTCTCAGAAAAACTTTGACAAAATTCTGGTGTGCTGCGCAGCATCATCACAGCAACAGCTAATACTGGACTCAGCTATGCATCGGTAGTGCACCGGCCAATACAGCCTCTTCAAATTAAAGACCAGATTTTGCTTGCTGCACTGAAACAGATCAACCAGCATTTAAACAGCACATACAAAACAAAATTAACCTGAATGAAGCGGTTGTTTTAATTGCATTGGGAAATCGAAGCTATAATATGCACTTTGTAAAATCTGCAGGCATGCTGTAGATATTGCAGCGTTACAGGACTTGGAGAGGTTTGACATTAAAATATTGATCAGAGTGAAAAACAGACTGCACACAGCACTCGGGACAAATTAATACACACAAATAATACTACTAATAAAAACACTGACAGCCCTATTGTAAAGATGACAACGACCGCAATTAGAGACCAAAAGTAAAAATGTATTTACAGTCTTATGCAAACTTTGGGTGCCTTTGGTCCAATTACCTTTTGTCTTACTAAGTGGAAATAAGTTCACATTCTGTTCAGAGATGCAGTTTAATTTTTGATGGTTCACAGTTTTGCCATATTCTGCAGGGTTTCCATCATGCAGCTCCCTATTTATATCAAGATTAGACTGACAGGCATGTTAATAGAATGTCTATTCTCCAAAATAAAAACAAAACAAAACAAAACAAAAACACCAAAATAAATAGCACACTCCAGTCTTTCACCACTTAAAACACTGGCAACATAGTGCTATACGTTACATACCCCTAAATGAATGAATGAATGAATGAATGAATGAATGAAGATGACAGCTACTGTCACACACTGTGTCACTGACATACATCCATCTCCTTTATTCAGATCACCGCTCAGAACTAAACTGGACAAACACGTTCACTTCAGCTCACTCCATCCAACTGAGCACAGGAGAGAAATGCTCTCTTCGGCTCCTTTGAGAGTTGCAGATTTTATGCACAATAATGAGCCTGGTTATCACATTTGGCCTCTCATTTAATGGGGGTGACGGTAAGAAAAACTGCGAGTCAGAGTTTGTAGAGGAGGGCGTGATGTTTCGCAGCGCATGCGCGCTCGGAGGCGCTCATGCTGAAAGACTTAACAGATTCACTTACAAGCAGCGCTGTTAATAGGTCGGACCCTTCCCGTCTGCCCTGCCCCTCTGGTTCAGCGATATTATTACTCGTGAGCCAGAAAACAAGCAGGTTGTGTTATGGAGAGAGGACTGCGCAGCTGAGGCTGGTAAAGAGAGAGATGGAGAGATGTGGCTAATGGCAGCGCGTTCACAACTCACTGCAATGCAGAAGCGGCGAGGAGGCAGAACAATCACATGCTGGAGGAAATGCAGACACGAATCAGACCATTTCAACTCCATTTATCCTCTCCCAGTTTAGCTTAGAGGGAGCCTGAAGGGCTGAAAATAGGCCTGCACTGATTTGCTGAGGATGGCAACGGAGCACTGCGTTTAATACTTTCTGACAACGGAACAGTTTTGAGTTTTGACTGTAATTCAGCTCGAATACAGAGATGGGGACAGCTCAATACACACTGTACTCTTACACAGATATCTATGGTGGTACTATCATTTCTCTAGCTCTGTATTATGCTTTTCACCTCATATTACGTTCCCGTAGTGCTGCCTTACAGCAGTGCATATTTGAGCACAGCTGTATTAAACTGTAGTGACTCTGAATCTACTGTAAGTCTTTTATCGGAATCCTGTAATATTACTGTAGCTCTCTATCATGAACGGGTCGTCACGTTCATGCGCCTCACCTCCTCCCGTGCAGCCCCGTTCAGGATGGGCTCCTCTCCGTCTCCCGTTGCCTCCTGCATTTTCTCCAGCCAGAGCTCCCTCTGCTCCGGCTCCTTTCCCTCCAGCCTCCTTCACCCCATCCGTGGCCTCAGTCGAGCCGCGTTAACCAGCGGAGCCAAACAGCGCGATAAACAGTCACACGCACGTCCACTCTCTCCCTCTTCTTTCTTTTTTTCTATCCTCGCCCTTCACACGATCCGCAGCAGCAGCCTTTCCCAAATTAGTCCACGGCTCACAACCATTTCACTCAGTTTCTTCGCTCCCGCCGCCCGTGAACTGACGGTAAGGTATCCAGAGATGATGCAGACATGGAGGTGAGACTGTTTGTCTGCGCTTTCACTCAGTCTACACCAGCAGACGAGGGCAAGGCTCGATATAAACGATATTTAAAAAAAAACAGCAGTACCAGCGCTGCCGCGGACCTCCAGCTGGACACGTCCACAGCACCTCTTCTACCCGTTTAATGAGCACGTATAAGGCTCCTGAATTGTTTTCGTCGACGTGCCGTTCTCCTTGAGGGCGATTCAGAGGACGTCATCAGTCATCAGGGCTCCCCACGAGGAGGCACCGAGGCTTCCTCCTGAACACCCCCACTTACACACACACACTGTCGTCATCCACCTGGATTTTCAAACTCAGTCTATTGCAGCCAAGATTTCCGTGCACTACAACTGCCCAGCTAATGCCATAAGCTATTTTGCACCTCTGCAATGATGTGCTTCAGTGATTAGGAGCAGCTGCACTCAGCGGGTTTCTTTGGTTAATACATTATGGGATGGCAAATTGGTAAATGGATTGCAAACATAATGAAAACGAAGCACAATGCAAAGCAGAAACCACTTTCACCCCCAGCCCCTCCAGTGCTTGTGCTAAACCTATATTATCTGTAATGAAAAAAAAGAGACAATGCAGAAATAATCTGAATGAAAATCAAATCTTTATTTTACACACGTTTTGCAAATGCAAAATCCCCCAAAAATAGAGAACAACATAAAGAGCAGCAACCTGGTACACTGCATTGCAGTTCTGGCCAATAAGGATACAGAGTGTGTGATCACGACAGGGATCCACGAGTACAGTAAAGCTGGTATATAGTACGACTCAAGGCTGGCCCAAGATTTCTGTAAATGCATAAAGAAAAGAGATCTCGTAGTGAGGCTTGCATTATTCCCCAATATGTTAAAACCTTTATTGCTATAGGCCTCGTAAAGCTTCAAGATGGTTAATGCACAAATATGTGGCAGAATTAGGCCTGTGCCTGGTGACAGAAAACAAAGGTACCAAACTAACAGCCCCCAGTGATGATAAAAACTTTTTTATTGCTGGCTGAAAACAACATTCGTTTATTGATTTATTTAATGCAAGCCACAACAAATGATGTGCTTCATTAATACCATAGTTATTCTACCTAGCATGTTGTAGAAACTAGCTACACTAGTAATTATGCTTGTACAAAAAGCTGCCTATATTTATATGAACTTTTTAGGACAACCAGAGACCACCTAAGACTACAGCTTACCTGAAAAAAAAGGATACCGTTAGTGGCACAGGTCTGAGCAGAACAGATTTAATGACAAGATAAATAATCAGCTCACCTAGGAAAATGTCTGTTATTGAAAAACAAAGGTGGAGCATAAATGCTAGGTTCTAGTGGGAATAGACTTCATCAGTTTGGATACAGGTGGTAGACATAAAGTGAAATGATTTAAAGGAAAAAGCAGAAATTGCAAACCTTTTGAGTTTGCCATATTTGATGGAGGACAGGAGTTTTTCTCCCTCTGCTTCAGTAGCACACTGGGCATATGCTTTCAACAAACTGAGAGTGGATATCAAAAATGCAGTGTTGTCATTTTTAGAATATAATTCGAGGCATTGCATGCAATGACTAAGTGTAATGAGATACAGTTGAGTCATACCTGCTCACTGTACTGTAGTGTTCCAATATGGCAGCTGCTTTATCACCAGAGATTCCACTGATCTGCATCAGCTGTCTAGCAAACACATCCCTCACTGTCTGACACTGAGAAAGAGAGCATGAGACAATCAGGAAATGGCTGGGTGAAACAGTGCAACAGCAGAGAGAAGGATGAACTATTGATATACACAGAGCTAAACAGGTAGGCTCTCAAATATTTGAGTAACCTTAGGGCTGCATGATATGAACATACAAGGTGATGAGCCATATATGATATCATAATCAATTAAAATACAAAATGTTTGTGTGTCTTACTGAAAAGTAACTATAGACCCTGATTTTTTATGCTGTGTAATATTTTTTTTCCAAGTTTAAGCAAATCTCCATCAAGAAAACAACACTATTTACTATTGTGTAAAAATGATGAAATACATACAGCCACTTACAGCAAAAGATCAAGCATTTTTGGTTGTGAATTATAAGGCTGTTAGAAAAACAGTCAGCATTACGTTTAACTGATTTTTCTATAAAGACCTCTAAAAATGAATAAATGTGTGTAATTCCTTAAAAAGCTTCTTATGGTGATACAGTAGCCACCGCTGCTCAACACATTTTACACAACACTTAGGATTGAAGTCTTCTTGTTTAAAGTATTTTTACAGGCAAACAGTGAAGGACAATACAGCTGTTCAGATGTGCACATATGCACATCTGGATAGAAGAGTGGATAACGTCCTCATCCTTCACATATGAGACCTGATCAGGCACTGCTCTAGTGTTAGGCACAGCTCTTAACATCCCCTCCTATATAATTACATCACTCCAGCACCATGTGTATTTGATATAATTGGAAATATGATTACAGAACGAAACATACGTAACACCTAAACATTATTCCGTTTTACCTTGTTTTTCACAGCTCCATAGTTGAACTCTGTGAAGGAGATGAGTGAGCAGCGTGGGTTCTCTCTCTCTGTGACTCCATTTTCTACTTCAAAATCTCCATTTCCCTCCAGTTCTCTGCTGTGACAGAACAATGTGCAGTTCTGGAGGAGAAATAAACTCAGAGAAGTCAGCTCATACTATGCACTGTGGTATAAGAGGTGGATAATTCTGGTCCAGAAAGTAAAAGTCCTCACCAGGATTTTGTTCCATTGGTCTGTAAACCTCTGCTGCTGGTTTAAGGTAATGAGTGAAGCCAGGCAATTGGAACAAAATCCTGAGAAGGATTTTTACTTTCTGGACCTAAACTAATCACCTGAAATGAATATAGCATCTTGCACAGCACAGTAAGTACTCCTTCAGACTGACCTGGTAAAGTTTCTGCAGGTATCTGGTCATGACTGTGAGGTAGGCAGCTGACTCCTTGACATCCTGCACTCTCTTTACAAAGAAGCCATCCACCACCTGAAACATACAAAAAACATGTTAGTGCCTAAAATTTCACACAGGTGTACCTATCACTGCTTTAACTGAAACACAGATTATATTATTTGTATGTTATGATATTATGTGATTATGGCTACAGAATATTGTTGCAAAATTTGCAACAAAATATTTAAACAAACATGTTGAGTATATAGATATTTGGGTATGGGGTGATTGCTAAAAGCTTGTTCGGCAGCAACTGCCCATTTTTAAATCAAGTTAAATTGGACTACACTATACAGTTCTGTATCATACCACAGGGTGGAAACTGGAGATTACTCTGTCTATATCAATAGTATATACAGCAAGGCCAGAAAACTGCACACACAGTTCTATAAACGCAGACTATTCTTGGCAGACATATGCACTGTGCACATCATATACATGCATACCTGTGTGTTAACTATTGCTTGTTGTAAAGTGCTTTCTGGTAGACTCATATGAGCTGCTGCCGACCCACACTCCTCTACCAGGTAAATGGGCTTATGAAGACCACACCTCTTCAGACGGAACTGTGAGAGAAAGAGAAAGGAAAAAAGGAATGAAACATTTTATTCGAGGTTGTTTTTCAGTGTAGATCACCAATCCAGGACGTGTTCCTTCAAAAATATGCTTTAATTTATGTTCATCACACTCATGTTCTTGTAGTCACAGTGGCAGTCAAGTTTGATTAAAGAGTTAACATCAATCCATATACCTGCACCAATCCTCCTCCTGGAAACCTGTAGAGTTTGGTTTGAACCTTATCTATTACACTTGGCTCAACAAATCACTCTCTGCATCCTGAACCACATACTATACCATACATGACATACTAATGAATGCATTTGACATACTGTTTAGCATTGTAGTATGCATTTTGGATAAAGCTCTTGATCAACTTTATTAGATGTACTAGGTCTTGGCTGAAACTCTGCAGGGACTCTCCAAGAAAAGTGCTTGTGACCATGAATCTAGCAAATTCACATTAAGAAGTAACCATGGTGTAGCGTCAAGAGAGCACCTATGTTTTCAAGTGCCTTAAAAAACACTAATTCACTCACCATGTGCATTTTGTTTTGCTTCTGCTCCAACTGGCAGCTGATTTTAATGAATTAAGTCTTACTATTCCTGTTGATCAAAATTTCTATAGAAGGATACATGCTATAATCAGTTCTTCATCTTCTACCTTCTGTTCTCTGAAGCGTCCATCCATGATGCTGCCACACAGGTCGTCCATCCTCTTCCTCTCAATGATGTAATCAAGAACCAGCTCCTTGGCCACAGGTGGGCGCAACTGACCTTTATTGAAACATAGCCATTAATATATTTCTAACCAAAACGACTAAAACCAGACACACTCATAATTTCTAACGTCATGTATCAGCTGTGTGAGCTTTTGTGAGTAAGCCTGTTTAAACATGTAATGAAAACTACCTCAGTAACTCCATCTATGCTTCTGTCTGAAGCTCCTGTCTTTCTGCTAAATGCTGGCTGGCGCTGAAATCATCACTAAATAGCAAATAATGCACAATAATACTTTGGCTAATAGACAGCAATGCTCAAAATGCAGCAAAACATTTTGGGGGGAAACAGCAAAACACAAATACACTAGAAGTTGATTGCAAATGCTAAAAAAGTGCCTGTTCCAAACTCAAATTATCTATGAGCTTGCATAGACCCTGCATTAACATGTGTTTAATGTCGATCATATTCAGGTAGCAGGATTGGATTTACACTGGAACAGCAAAAGAGAAGGTGCTCTCTTGTAGCTGCTGAGACTTCTGGAGTGGTCATCTGCACTACTGTCCAGATGACTTTTCGGACACAAGTGAAAAGTTCAGACTGTATGCAGATATAGAAAACATTCCATTTTCAAGATCAGTCTTTGACCACCTCCGAATGTGGTTTAAGTTATCTGATCGTAATCCAGTCACAACAGCTACGTTTTTATCCACAGGATTTTTTATGAAAAATGTTGTAATGCCTCAAAAGGTTTGCCCATTGTAGGCTGGGAAACAGATCTTGTTGGTAATATTTTATGAATGCTGACAAAACTTTTTTCCTGTTCAACTTAATCAGAAAAATTGTTTATACCTGAATTATCACAAAAGCTTGGAATCTTTTTTTTAACAATAGTGCATTTATGTATAAATTTAGTGTCATGTAACAGATTTCCCCTCACATGCCTCGCACAACATACACTTTAGCACTTGCAGAGATAGATTTCCAGAAAAGGCTACAGCTTTTACAAATAAAAAGTTCTCAGACAGCTCTGTATGAATGTGCATAACACTTAGGATAGAAAGATAATAGTAGTAAAATAGTAATAAATAGTAATAAAAACTAAAACAAAATGAACAAGATTTCCTTAAAAGTTGTGGGGAAATCAGAGAAGCCAAATGAACATAAGTTGGAAATATCCCAAATACTTTTTTTATTAATGAACGCAAAGTTAAGTGACAACAGCTTCTTTTTTTTCGCAGTTTATTTATTTTCCCTATTTTCATTTCATCGCTTGCCTTTTAGCGATGAAAACATAGCTAACGTGTCCTGGATCTGTTTATACCTGGCTATTCAAGGGAAATCCGAACACGATTTGATCACTGAAAACGCATGTTGATGCAAGGTCTAAAAATATGACCCACATGATGAACAGCTATGGATTAAAAAACAGCATTTGTATATATAAGAGAGTGACTGAGCCAGTCAAAAGACTTTACCAGGCACAGGTGTCACTTTCTCACGCGCAACCCACAGGAAGTCTCCCACATTCAGTTTCCTGATGTCAAAGGTGACTCCATTCCTCTGCAGCTCCTTGACCAGTTCTTGTTTGCGTGCTGTGTTTCCCCTGAACGGCAAAATTTGTCTCATTAGCATAGCAATATAACGTTCACAGCCCATTCACAGCAATTATGTATGTAAAAATCTTGCACTCACCCAGTAGTCTCAATAAAGTCAACACAGAGTACAATATCATAAGAACCAGGGAGAAGGCATTCTCCTAAAGGTGGTGAAGTCTGGCACTTTCCTGATAGACCAGAACTAGGAGCAATAATTTCTGCCCGGGTTTCTGTGACAGCTGTGGTAGGTGCCTCTCTCGTGGAACTGGAGTGAAAACACAAAACTTTAAAGCTCATTTTTAGACCACTGACTGCTGGAGGATCTTTCACATTGATAGGAGAGCAGTTTTTCTCATAATCATTATAACAGAGATATAAAAAACTTAGTGTTAGGTTAGAGTAATGGGTAGTTGATCCTTTTTTTTTAATGTTATACCAACAGGCCTAGTAAATACCCTAACTCTATTGTTATTAATAATCATCATTATAGCAACATGTTATTCATAAATAACTTTTCATTTTTGTTAAAAAAAAAATCACAACATGCTTTACACAAGAGGATAAGCAAAACTTTTGGAAAAATAAATCAGAGTTTACGTGAAAAAGTAGAACTAATGACAACTAAAAACAGCAAATTAACAGGTGACAGAAGAAACTTAATACTGTAGGTATTATGTCAAATAAACTAGGAACATGTTAGCCTGAACAAATTGTTTTTTTATTTGGATTTAAAAACACTTATCAAGCTCGCATTCTTAATATTCTCTGGCACACTATGACAAAAGTTGGGACCTATTAGTCTTAGCCTCAGATGTGCTGTCCACTCATAAAGGGAGTGTCTACAGTAGGTTAAGACGGCCAAAACTATCTAGATTGTTTTCGGTTTCATTCTCAGTGTCAACCCACACGTACGTGTAAACATACTTCTGTGCACTCGGTTTTTGTATTAAACAGGTAACAACTACCATCTCTGGTTGGTTATTTTGTACGTCAGTCAGTCAAACCTAACAGCCAGTGTAAAATGAATAAGACCAGAGTAACACACTCAGACTCTCTTTTCCTGGCGAGCACATGGGCTGCTGCATTCTGAACTTGGGAGTCTCTTTGGAGATACAGCAGAGCAACCAGACAGTTTCAAGTTACAATAGTCTAATCAAGATGTTATGACAGCACAGAACTAATTAATTAGCATTGGCCTGAGATCATAATGTTAATTCTTAAACATTTCATTATCTCTTCCTTCCGTTTGTTAATCTTTCATTCTCACCAGCTATCTTCACCTTCATCCTCATCATCTTTATCTTTGTCCAGAGTCAGATCAACAGTAACTGGTCCATCCTCCGAGTTTTCAGCCTCACTCTTCTTCTGCTCTTCTTGTCTATCATTTCTCCCTCTCTCTCCAGACTCCAGTTTCTCTGCTAGAGCCAGACCTAGCTCTGTCAATGAATACCTAACAAAAGAAAGTGGAAAAAAGAGTGAGTAAAAATAGAGTTTGGAGCATTTATGTTAAGACTGATTGCTACTAAGTTGATCTCAAAACATTAAGGAGAGTGCATCATAATCAGCTACCTGAAATGGCAAAGACATGCTTCAACACAGTAAATAGTTCTAAATCAGGAGGATCAAGATCAAGAGCATATTTTACCACATTGTGTCAGGGTTTACCTGGCAGGGTTGTGTGTCTTCAGAAGCAGATCTTTCTGGATGAGGGTGCTAACTGAGGACCACGCTGTGTATTTACTGCCGAGCTCAGGCTATGCACATAGAACAGAGAGCAAAAGCTTAGCTTAACATGTCTAAACACATCAGACACAAAATGTTTCATAAAAATGGCTTAAATAAAACTTCTTCGTTTGTTATTGCTTGATCATTAGTCTTACCACAGTGAAGGATTTGTCACAAAGGTACTGGGCCTCAGTCTGTAGTTCATTTTTAAACATGAAGCCTTTACTGCCAGGTACCTGAAACCCAAGAAAGAGATGTTAGTCAGGATATTGGAGCTAAAGGGTTACATATTTGTGGGCTTTTTCCCCAGAAACAAAATCATGTTTTTTTCACTTTGAAAACCATATTGCTCTATCCTGTTTGCTTTTTTTAGTACTATGCATTATATTGCTGCTATGAGAGCATTTGTTGTACCTGTGAATGTCTGTACAGTGTGAGCAGAACAGCATAGCCTCCAGACCTCTTCTGAGGCACATACTCCCTCTTCTTCTTGCCTCCTTTTTCTTTTCCTGCATCACCTTCCGCATTCCTCTGTAGAAACAGTAAGAATGTTAGTGAGACTTTTCAACATGCATATTCTGTGTGCTTACATTAGGGGGCAGTTTCCCATACAGGGATTAAGCTTCGTCTTGGATAATGTTATCACTACAATGTAAAACCTCCATTCAAAGTGCGGTGTGGTCCAGGACTTGGCTTAACCCCTGCACACAAAACTGACCCATAGTGTAAGCACACAGTTAGTACTATAATCACTGTTAAATATATCCAAAAATTTGTTGACACCTGCTCATCGAATATTCTACCACAATCAAAAGTAATAATTAACAGGGAGTTTGTCCCACCGTTAATGCAGTAACAGGTTCTACTTTTCTGGGAAGGCTTTACACCAGATTTTGTAACACTATTGTGAAGTGTATTTGCCTTCAGTCACAAGAGTATTAGTGAGGTCAGATACCAATGTTGAATGATTAGTTCTGGATCATAAATACCAGTCCAACTCATTCCAAAGGTGTTGGATGGTGATCACTCTAGTGAACACAGTTCTATTTCTCCACAGTCCAATGCTTGTTGGGAGGCTTCACACCCCTCTAGCTGATGCATGGCATTGGATATGGTGACCTCAGGCTTGTGATGTTGCTTCAGAGTGTACCATTCTATTGTCAGTGCAATGGGGATTATACAAGCTGTGTGTGTGCTGCTGAATGTGTAGTTCAGCAACGGGTGCACCTTAAAGTAACTGAAATCATTAATTAGACTGGGTGTCCAGCAACTTTTGAACATATAGTGTACTTGGAAATATTTTTAACCCACCATATTTGCTCCACCCTCTAGAGAAGGGTCCTTGGAGGAGGCTGAGGAAGGTTTGGGGGGAGCCAGGTTGGTACTGCAGGTTTGAGATGGACCACTGGGAAGGGTGTGGATTGAGGCATCGACACCTGTGCAGAAACGATGGAAGAACATACAAGAACCAATTCATTTAAATGCGGTGCTCCACAAGGCTGATCACACAACTCTCTCCACTTTACCGTTTTCGCGGTAGTACTTCTGAAGCCGTTCATCCAGGATCTTACAGATACCGTCTCCAAAGTTCTGCAGGATCTTCGCCTCTTTGCCGTTTTTCAGAGGTAGAGGATACTTCTTCAGAGAGTCGATAGCCTTAAAGAAAACACAAGGATGCGTTATTGTTCAGCTGCAGGTAGTTTACACCATACCTATACGTGATGACACGCTAACAAGCAAACACCAGGTCACCTTCTGGTACACGTACTGGGTCTTCAGCCCCTTCTCTTTGGCGTGGTCGCGCATCTCGGTCAGCCAGAAGAGAAAAAGAGGGTTTGGACAGGAGGGTAAAGGCCGTTTCCGACCCACACGTACAGGCTCAGGGGACATAGGGTAGTTAGGAGAGTGGATCAAACCACTACCTTTAAATAAAACCTTTAAAACCTAAAAACCGTTTACGCTCTAAAGCCGAGAGCCGAGAGGACGACAGACGGCGTCAGTTCTGTATCTCAGTCAGTGGTGACCAAAATTACTTCAGCTAACCTAGCAAGCTAGCGACCCGTGTAACTTGTCTCAAGAAAATGGACGAATTTCAGCTATATAGTTTATCTAAAACGTATTAGTTAATTTGTCTAACCTTACTCGTCAGTGATCAACACTGACGAGTGCACAACACAGTGTGTCTGTTGTCATGTTACGTTTTGCTCTCCAGACTCTGGTAATTAACGCCAACCGGTCTAGCAAGCAGCTCGGTTGGATGCTACACGGCTAACTTTAGCTACATTGTTTTTGTAAGTGTTGCTCAGTTCATGGTGTGTCTTTGAGGTTTAGACATACAGTGGAAGGGTCAGTCTGTCGTTGCTACATCGAGTGCGCGCCATTTAATGTAGTTTATGTACAATAATTAAAGTTACCCGGTGTAGAGGGTCTGTTACTGCTGCCCGCCACTGTTTTCAAAAACATAACGCTAGCTTTATGTGGTCTTAGGCGCTGCGATCAAGCGCCACAATACGAACAGCGCCGCTCAGTGCTGTGATGGAGTAATAGCACTGCGCGCACAAACACCGTTTTCTTAGTTAAATTAAAAAAAGTAAATAGGCAGTACTTATTAGATAGTTTAAATAAAGTAAACAAACAAATAAGCAACGATTCCTAAATGTAGGATATTATTCTAATCTATTGCAGATTACATGGTCCGCAATATGTATTAATCCACAACACAGGCTGTAAACCTATTGCTTTACAAGAACATCGTCTTTTAAAGACTGTAAACGTTATAATCAGTAATATAACGGGCCTATAAGGACAACACTCACAAACCGTTAACATCTGGGAGTCCTACAATCAGGCTGCTAGTGAATTCCAGCAACAAGACCAAACAAGGATCTGGAATCCGCTGCCTGCCCACCCAACATCCACCCACTGACTCACACACACACACACACACACACACACACACACACACACACACACACACAGATACACATAGAGATCTGTTTCAGTCCTTCTGTCCTGTTCACTGGTTTACTAATATAACAGCTCAAACAAACTGTGTCACGTTGTTTGAGGCCCAAACATAGAATAAGTTGTTGGTAATATATATTGTTTGACACATGATGCATAAAGTATAAGGACACATTTATTGTCATGTACAGAGAGCACATTCACAAAACTCAATAATGAAATTTCATGATATACTTTACAAAATCAATGATCTGTCTTTTCATACAAACGAACCAGCACTGAATGTTGTACTGTGCATCAAAAAAGTGAAAATATGTCCAAATACATAGAACCATAACACATAGAAAGCATTACAAGTTAATATAAATGTATAAAATCTGGAATAAAGGTTCAACTCCACCCAGAGAACATTACAGACCACCTTGATAAATATAAATCTCTTTTTTACAACACATCAATCTATATTACAAACTGCAATAATAACTGACAAAAAAACAAAACAGTAATCCCTCCCATTCAAAGACAAGAAAAATAGAGAAATTAAGTCAATGTTGTGTAAATAATTTCTGGTTAAAACACATCTTTAGCTCTTTAATGTGAAGATGTGTGTCTGAGAATTGTTATTACATCTACACATTATTTTAACTCTTTCAAAATTAGAAAAGGACTTAATGTAAACCTAAGTAGTGCATAATTATCATGTACTGTTTTGCTGTCTACTGATTTCAAAGGGAAGAACCAGCCCTCATCCATAGTGGAAGTGTAAACTATGGCTGCTTGAAACATTTTGAACAATTCATGTGGTGTTTCATGACAACAGAAGAAAAGCCGTTAGTCTTTTAGTGTATCCTTGAGTTTTCCCTCAGACTTTCTCTCTTTTCCTTCCTTTTCTCAAAATAACCTTCTATTTAAATAATATTTCAGGAATTCATATCATAAAAAACCTCAATCCTCTTTACATCTCAACACACAAATGCCTCTATTGCTCTCCCGAACCTACTGTATCATCACTGTGTAGGGATAAAGGAGAGCTGGGCAGGGAGTTCTCCTCCAGAACAACGCCACCTGCTGCCCCGGACTGTCTGCGTGCCACCTTGGCCCGCAAGAAGGCACTGTTCGGATGCTGAGTGTGCAGGTGGCGCAGCAGTGCATCCTGGGTAGAGGCGGTGTGGCCGCACTCCTCACAGACGTACAGCTTGGTGCGCCGTTCTTTGTAGGCGTATTGCTGTGTCACACCGTGGATCTTCTTCAAGTGGGACTCCAGAGAGCAGCGCTGGGTGAAGGCTTTCTCACACAGAGTACACTTATACGGACGAACACCTGGCAGAGCATGATGAGAGAAATACATGTACTGAAGTCTTTGCATACTCTCAAATATTTTTATAGGTATTTCACACCTGCACCAACGGAAATTTCTAATACACCTTGTACTTGGCAAATAACAAAAGACTATGGTTCTGATATGAACAAAATACCATATTGCAGTTATATTGCTACATTTTACTGCTGCAGTTTGCCTTGCAATATATTAAAAATGCCTTGGTGAACCCTTGGATGTGACGTTAAAGACTGGCCTACATTATTTTAGCCAAAAACATTCACGTTTGTTGGATCATGTGAATGCTTTGTTTCACCCAAACATCCAAAGATGTTGATGTCTGTGACTGGTCAGGATGCTCATAGCACAATAAAATATTAGATAAGGGCCTATTTGCATATTGTAACCTATTTGTATTATTGCAATACTGCAATAATGATTAGCAAACGATACATTGTGCATTGTATTTAACAGACATTGTGAGTGTGTACAGCTTCAGAGTAAAGGATCCAAAAGTAGGATCCATATCTGAAACTGTAGAAGTACTCACATAAAAACAATATACTTACAGTATTACATTACCACTGTAAATAAATCCCAATTTTATGAACAAGTTTGGTCAAACCATAAGAAAAAGTAAAAGTAAAACATACCTGTGTGAGTACGAACATGCCTCTTAAGGTCGAAGGTGTCGTTGAAGCCTTTGCCGCAGAAAGTGCACAGGTGCCTTTTCTGTTCACTGTGGCACTTCAGGTGTCTGTTGAGCATACGCTGGAACTGGAACACCTTCTGGCACACCTGACAAACATAGCTTCCACCCGCTGTCGGAGCTGAAGATGTGCCAGCGCTAACTGTGGGGCAAGGGCTTACCACAGCATCAGGAGGACCAGTGGTCATACTTGGAATGGTGGCCGGAGCCTCTGACGGAGGATCACCAGTGGTCACCTGCAAATACGAAAAACAAAGAGATGAAGAACAGCAGGAAAACTGACCAAATGGTCAAACATGATCCAGCATAATTCTTAAGTTACTTGAAAACCTGAGTTTCTTATTAATGAAAAGTGTTCAAATCACCTAAATATAAATTACTGGTATGTTTCTATAATTTTTTATTAAATATTTTATACATTTATACCCCTTAACCCAAACATAGTTAGTTGACCAAAACATGTCTGGTGTCCAAAGCTGGCTGCTTTAGACTAATGTAGCAAACAAGTATTAAAATTATATGACTTTATTACAGTGTAGATGATATAGCTTTTTAGCTTTGGTGCAAAACTAAAGAAGCAAAGTTCTTTAAGGAACCATCTTCTATGGCATTCTTCACAGAACTCTTTCTGGCACTTTTATTTTTAAGAGTGCATGTTTGGAAAATTGTGTAAATTAGATTTATTGATAAACCTTTCCTTTAGAACAGATGAGCAGCCAACAATGAATCAATCATCAGTTATTTTACTTTTACAGTCATTTTTTTTATTTTAATTATCAGTTACCCAGACAAGGTTAAAGTTAAAATATTAACTCATGGACAGCACCTTTCTGAAAGGAGGCCTCACCTTGATTTTGGAGCGGACGTAAGAGCTGTTCTGGGAACTCCTGATGCGCTCTGTCTCTGGACTTGGATGCTGTCCTAGAGTGGTGCATGAGGGCAGCTCAGCTGTAGAAACCACTGCGTGTGGGTCCTGCGTGTATTTTTGTGTGCACCTGATGTGTTCTTTGCGAGTGGACAGGCAGAGGGCCACTTCGGCTGTACTGGCTTCTGTCTCATCCCACAGAACTGGAGGGCTCACAGAGACTGTAGGGAAAAGCATGAGGAAAACAGGAGGTAGTTTTAGAGGATGAGAGTGATGGTAAAATATCATTTTTAGCTTTTTTTGTTTTAACATCTAAGCATTTGTTTCTGTGAAATAATCATCCACCATGAGTCAACAGTCATTTTTTTCATTAACCACAATTAATTTTAAAGAATTTCATCTTGTCTTCAATAAATCTACATCTCAAAAAAATATTTGCATCTTTGGGTCACATCCAAATATAATAATTTGCATATTATATCTTATATACAGTCATATGCAAATCACAATGCTTTGTTGATTTTCTAAATGGAAAGAAGTTAACATCCTCTACAGAGAACACAATTCTGAACATTTAATACAAAATTGCTGAATTGTTCATATTGGGGGAAAAAACAAACAAAATGTGCCCTGAAGAAATTATTTTATATATTTTGTCTAATATGTTAAACTCTGCAAATACACAGAAACTGTCACTAAATTTAGCAGAAAAATGTCAGTCCTGGAGAGGGTGTGTTAACTTATTTTCACTGACAACAACACATAAAACATAACTGGGAGTATTTAAACTGTTGCTTATACCCTCAGTTTTTTAAGCTTTGATGAATAAAGTGCAAATCATTAGAAAGTGAATGTGGCTCTCAGGAAACCAGGACAGTTGTGCCTCTGGGTAAGGTGTGTGTGAGTGGGTGGGAGGCAGCTATACTGTGTGTGTGTGTGTGTTTGTATGTGTGCGTGTGTGTGTAAATGTATTGTCCTGTACTGAAGTCAGCCACTCCTGTTACTGCATTACCAGTCTGACCAGCCAGGCTAGAGACACAGGCTTATGAACTCTTTATCCAAGTGTGCATACAACACAATGCAAGGGCTGCAAATAAAACTCCGGTAACGTATCGTGTTTTCTAATATGCCCATGTTCAATCATCTAAAAATATCAGTACAGTAAAAATGTCCGTACCTGACACCTCTGGTGCCATGGTTTCATTTCTGAAAAGCTAACTGTTTGTACCCGACCTGTCTCTAGCAGTTAACTGTACAATGAATCTCTTGATTCTGGTGAAACATAACCGGATGAATTGCAAATCATAATGCAAATGGTCTGCTGTGTGCTGTGGGTAACGGTATGTGCAGAAGCCAGTGGTGCAGTGTAGAACATTCATTATGTACATTCACAATATACACCAGCTACTAGTAGTAATTATCCTGATGTATTTTTGAATGTCCCCAACTGAAACACACTTTTCTATCACGTGTCTGTTTCCAGTTCAGGTCTTCAGCCTGCGTCACAATGACATCAACAAAAAAACAGCAGAAAACCTCCCACAAAAAATACATAAATAAATAAATAGGCAGCTAGTTGATGCAGTGATTTCCATGCTTTAGTGAGTTAAA